GTGGATCAGGAACAAAGATCATCATTGGAGGGGGAAGCAGTGGAGGATCTGGTGGTGGCATGGGAGGAGGATCTTCAAAGGGCATGATGGGAGGTGGAGGTGGTGGAGGATCCTCTGGATGTTGTGGTGGAGGTGGAGGTGGTGGAATGGGAGGAGGATCCTCAAAGGGCATGATGGGAGGTGGAGGTGGAGGATGCTGTGGAGGAGGATCCGGGGGTGGAATGGGAGGAGGATCCGGTGGTGGATCAGGAACAAAGATCATCATTGGAGGTGGAAGCAGTGGAGGATCTGGTGGTGGAATGGGAGGAGGATCTTCAAAGGGCATGATGGGAGGAGGAGGCTCCTCTGGATGCTGCGGCGGAGGATCCGGCGGTGGCTGCGGGATGGGAGGAGGGTACGGTGGGGGCAGTGGAGGATCAGGCCAGAAGATCATTATCAGCTCTGGGGGTGGAGGAGGAGGAGGAGGAGGAGGAGGCTCCTCTGGATGCTGTGGTGGGGGATCCAGTGGTGGCTCTTCAGGAGGGAAGATCATCATGGGAGGTGGAGGATCCTCTGGATGCTGTGGGGGATCCAGTGGTGGCTCCTCTGGCCAGACCATCATCATCAGCTCTGGTGGAGGTGGAGGTGGAGGCTCCTCCCAGTCCTCCCAGCAGAAGTGCCCCATCGTCATCCCCAGCGTCGTGTCCCACCAGACCAAGCAGAGCTGCTACTTCCCCTCTGGCCACAAGTGACAGCTCCAGGTCCAGCAGGGCCAGCCCATCTGTGCCCTCCCCCTGCTCCCTCCGTGCGTGCCTCCCTCCCTCCCTCGTGTGTCCCCTCGGTGCTACATCCCGGAGCTGTGAATTCCCAGGTGGCTCCTCTCGGTGCCATCAGTGCGATGGGAAATAAAGATTTCAGTGTGCAGACAGAACTGGTCGTGTGAGGTTGCTTTCACCCTTTCCCAGGTCCCCTGTTTACTTCCCCCCCCAAAAAAAATCAAATAAAAATCAAAAACATTCTCTGTGGAATGTTCCTCGGCCTCCAGTGCTGTTGGCAGATCTTCCCTGAGAGAAACCTCCCTGTGGAAGCAGATGGTCACTGTCCCACTTGCAAAGAACCACCAAAGTTTGCAACTTCAACCTGGGGAATTGCCCCGCCTCGGTTTTCCCCTTCCCAAAGAAACCCCAAGGGCTGGGTTTCCCTGCAGAGGTTTCCTGCTCGAAAAGCAGCATCCCTTGGAAATACAGGTGGGATTTCATGGACTCACCTTCTCTGGGTTAATCACGAAGCCATTAATTATGGCAGGAAACATCCAGCAGCGTTTGTGCAGAAATCAGCAGCAATTCATGGAATTATAGAGGGGTTTGGGTTGGAAGGGACCTTGAAGTTCACCCAGTTCCACCCCCTGCCATGGGCAGGGACACCTCCCACCAGCCCAGGTTGCTCCAACCTGGCCCAGGACATGGGATGCATTTCCTCTCAAAGTGGGAAAGTCCTCTCAAAGAGGATTCCTAAAGTCCTCTTTGGGACAGGTGTGACCAGTCCTGGGCCCAGAGAACTTGAAGCCAAGAGGGTTCTTGTCCATCTCACGAAAGTGATTGTTGGGGAGGAAGCAAAATCAGGAATCAAGGGAATATCACTGGCCACTCAAACTCTTGGAGGATCAAGACTGACCAGCTTCTGCCTTTTGGACAGAAAACTGGGGAGTTCTTCTTACCCCAGCAGCGCCTTCATCGTGTCAACCATCAACACTGGCACTGCTGTGCCTGAAGGGAAAACGGGACCGTGGGATCCGGCCAAGGGTTTTTTAGGGACACACCCCAAGGTGAGGTGTTTGCAGCCATGAGACTGAGAGGTGGCATGACCTGCCAGCCCATCTAGGGGGGTGATGGGACTGCAGGGCAGAGGAGGGCCCAGGCAGAGCATCAGACAACAGGCAGCGTGGCCCGAATTTGGGGCCTTTTGCATCCCCCCATTTCCCTTTCCCCAGCGCAGGGATCAAGATCCCACCTCGATCTTCAGGCTGGGAGGGGCTGTGGCAGTGCCAACCCCTCCAGCAGCTCTGGATCAGGCCACACTCTCCCTCCACACCTGGCAGGTACCACACAGGTCCATGTCCTAGAGGTTCAGCCTTTCCAGTTCCCCGCAGGGTCCAGCCTTGGGGTCTCCACAATCCATCGCTGGGTTGCGAGCCCCTCTCACCACTCCTTCCAAAAACCTCTCCTCATACCCTGGGTCCCACTGAGCTGCTAATCCCGGGTGTCCCTCAGTGCTGATGAGCTGCTAATCCCAAGTGTCCCTCAATGCTGATGAGCTGCTAATCCCGAGTGTCCCTCAGTGCTGATGAGCTGCTAATCCCGAGTGTCCCTCAGTGCTGATGAGCTGCTAATCCCCGGCTGTCCCTCTGAGCAAGTCCCTGCACGTCAGAGGCACGGAAGGGATCAAGGTGTTGAGATCCTCACAGGTACAACACCCACGCTCAGCCGAGAGCCAGAGCCACGTGGCGACACCTCAGATCTGGCGATGAGAGCGCAGATAAGGCTCTTTTTGGACTGCAAGGA